GATCAACATCCTCAGCCCTAAAAGAGACGTAAAGAGTGTCACTGCATAGGTGTGTCGTGAGAATCACACCTAATTGTCCAGGCTACTGTGGGGGCCAAACGAGTGACCTACAAATTTTGGTCAAGTCCATTATGATGCAGAACACTGCCCATTTACTGACATTTTACGGACTCGGTTGGTTTCATCATTTCAGATCATAAAACCCTTATGGAATGAGACATTTCTAATATTTCTTCAGGGTCCCGATGCCCGTGGTGGAGTATTAGAGATGCATCGGGGGTGTGCTACACATTTGTCAACTGCTTGCCTGGTGTAAATCTGGGTCCTTCTGTTTCACACAGCAAGGCCACGCAAGGCCACAGTGGCCCACAGTTTCCTTTGATGGTGTGGATGATAAAAGCCTGTGGGGAATATTGTGGAGGAGGAGGAGACAGTCGGCGACCATTGCATAACTTGCCCAAGCCTGAGAACGCTCAAAGCTGGAGCTGACAGCCCCCGATTCAAAACCTAACTCAGTCATCCATAAGCACGAGGCATTCAGTGAGGTTCCCAACTCCTGTTAGCCTTGGCTTTCTGATCTGTAAAGTGGGGCTGTCAATACCTCCGAGGTATTGTGGTGAGTAAATGAGACACGTAACGTAAGGCACAGGGTGGCCCATGTAGGCATTCCACGACAGGAAATGATTACCATTCATTAGCTGTACATCTGGGGATAAAATCCCAGGCTTGCTCACTTCACATGGCAGTTTTGTGGACCCAGAGAGAATAGACGGTATGCTGCTTGCAAAGTATTTATAAAGTTCAACGCAAATGAAGTTATTCAAATCCAGAGTATTGAAATTCAAAGTTTGAATCATTTGACATAAATATCCTTCCTGTCTGCGCCTGCAAACCAGAATAGAGACAATGAGGAAGACACTACTGGGGAAAGCCAGAGAAAGATCCACTGACTGGGAGCTGGAAAGGAGCTGTCAGATCATTGGACTCACCTCGTTGTTCCGGTGGGGAAATCAGGCCCAGAGAGTACTGCCGCACAGATGGGGTCACACAGCCTTGTTGGCGTAACCAGGAAGGGGACTCTGGACCCAGAGGCCCAGTCCAGTGCCTTTTCGCTATTTTCCATCCTTCTGACCTGCATTGGCTGTATGATGATTCGGGGGTCTGCCCTCTGGAACATTCTCAAGCAAACCCTGGATGTAACTGAAAAATAAGTAAATAAATGCCAGACCCATTTTAAGACCTGAACATTTCCTCATGCCTGGAACTTACAGAAGAAAATGCCTCTGGGATCTCTTTCTCTAACTTCCTTTCTCAATCGTGGCATAAAAATTGAAATGAGTGCTAAGGAAGAATAATGTGTCTTGGAGAAGCTATACTTTTTACAGGCCGCTCTCAGCCCACCCCACTAAGGCACTGAACTCAGCCTGAGCTTCGAGTCTGGCTGAGGCTCAGCCGTGAGGCCAAGTGTCTGACTTTGACAAAGAAAGCTCTTCAACGCTGATAAAAGCTTATCGATGTCAGTATCTGAAGTTCTCTGGTTTCACGAAGCTCTCGATGTTCTAAACACTCCACGTGTAATGCTGGATTTAAATGTTATTTTAATTCCTTGCACATAACGAGGCTGTCTTTTTTCCCTGGTCACCCAGGCTTGAAGGCTCAGTCACCTCTGACCTGCCTTTCTGCTCTGAGCCCTATGTCCATCCAGTTCTTGCACGATCAGTTTTTCTTTCCATCTCTATGTCACTGTCCTCTAGCAACCCTCCCCCAAACTCCCCCTGCAGATCTCAAAATCCGTGCCTTCTCCCGAACCCCAAATCCTGTCTGAGCATCAGCCCTGGATACACCCTCTACAAATGGCCCCCAGCTCCATCACTTCGGGGCTCCCTTTGTCCACAGGCTACAGTCCAAAACTCTTAGTCCATAGTACTCGGTCCCCTCTCTTTCCTGCCTTATCTCCCCCATCCCCTGAAAACCTAATTTGCTCCTTCCCTTGTGACTGTGAATGCATGCTGTTCCCTGCATCTTCAATGTCCCCTCCTACCTCTCCTATTGGGCGCTCAGACAGCCTTCATATCCTGGAGGCTCCCATGTCACCTCTTCCAGGAAGTCTCTGCTGGTCGCCCCAGCCAGGTTCTCTTTTCAGATCTCCCTCCCATAACCTCAGACCAAGCCACCACCTTGCTGTATCCATGCCCTTGTTTGTCACAGAGCCCCTCCCAGAAAACATGGTCTCTTAGGACAAGGACCAGATTTCATCCTTCACCCCTGCATAACATACAGAGTTTGTCTTCCACATTCTAGATGCTCAATAATTAGCTTCTGATCAAATGAAAGGGAAAGCAAGCAGTATAAAGGCTCACCTCTCTCTCTCCCTCTCTTTTAACTGTGCCTTCCAAGACACCCAGCAGAATCCAGCAGGCTGAGGACTGAATTCAACAAGGCTGATTACTCTCTGGATATTAATTTGAGAGTTCACTGGCTGCCCCCGTGCCTCAGTTTCCCCACCTATGACCACAGAACCAAAATGCTTCTTAACTTGCTTTACCAGATTACTTATTTTCACCTAAAGGATGGCAATGGCATGCTTGTTTTGCTTTGGCATTGTGTTTTATTTCCCAGCAGACTAAGTACACAGAAATCTGGAGGATTCTGCTTAGAAGAAAAAGATCCTGGGCCCGTCGCTTGGAGTTTACTGCCAGCCCAGGGGAGAGAGATAGGTTCTCTCACCAACCAGAAAGGAAACAGCTGTGGTGACAGATGTTGGTGGTGCTGATTATTCTAAGGCTGTTTGCATTCAGATTTCCCAGGCAGTCTTGCTTTTTTTTTGAAGTCAGTCTCATTTGATGGGTTTCCCCAGGTCTTGGGGGTGAAAACAAACCAGCGCCTTACCCCGAGCTTTTCATTTGTTTCCTCTCTCTACTCCACGGGCACACACAGGACATGCACTCCCCACACACTCCTCACGTCCACGTGACTTCACGTCGTATTTTGAACAGAACTGGCCCTGGGAAGAGAAACCTTTTCATTCTTCCTTCAGTTGCTTTGTCGGGTTTTTTTCTTTTTTTGGTAGGTGTGTGTGTTGGAGAGTTATAGGGGGCTGTCTGGCTAAGCCACATCCAAGGCCAGTTTCTCCAAAAGACGTGCAAACTTCTGATCCCACCGGGGACTTCCACTGAATACCAAAAAGGGGTGTCTTTGTTCCCTCTAAACGGAGTATTTACTTTGAGCTGGTAAAATGAATTAATGAAAGGAAATGACACCTTCAGCTTCTGGGGGAGGGGTGGTAAGTGAAATCAGGAGGGAGGGGAGCTTTCCCTCCCTCCCCTCAAATAAAGAGAAGATGGGCAGATGAGGACGGAGGGTGGCGAGGGAGGGTGGATCCCATAGGGTTTTCTGAAATAGACTCTGCTAGAAAACAGGCTACTCTTTGCTGGGATTAAAAATTGCCTCATAATACTGTAAGGCCCATGTATATGCAAGCAGTCGGGAGTTATTACGGGTCTAAAATAGGAAACCATTCGCTTGATCTTCTGCTTCAATCCTATTAGGGGCCCCCTGGAGCTCGAGAGAGATACCAGCCTGTCATGTCCCTGTTGCTGTGACGACCCTGTCTTTATAGAACAAGAAAGAGAAATGGTAGTGATTGGCAGACCTGGCTTGCCCCCGTATGTAACACAAAGGGCTACAAAACGAAGAGGAAGTGAGGCCCTTCTCCGAGGTCTGACGCTTCTTAACCCTACACCACCTTCCACCTGGCCCTGGTCGCCCCCACCGCGGCCTCCTCCAAAGGGAAGGGAGAGTTCCACTAGCCGTTGTTAAGGACTGATGTCCAAAGATCGCTAATTACTTTTTTATTTAATTATGATTAACACCATTTAAAAAACACACACAAACCTAAGAGCGTGTGTAGTATCAGCTTCTGGAGAAAAAAAAAAATGAGCGGGGGCTGAAGGCGAGGAAAAGGAGCCCAGCCCGCGGGATCGGCCGGCGACATTGTCAGGCGGGCACTCTTTGCCCGACGTTGGGGGGGCCAGGGAGCCGGGGGTCGTCCCGGGCCTGATAAATCCCACCATATGGTGCTAGACTTCAACCCGCCGGCCATAAATAACGCCCTCTCCTTTCGGGTTTGCTCTGCCGGGCTCCTCCGATTCCCGCTCAAGTGGCGCAAAAGTGCACAGCGCAGTTTGCGCGCGTTTCCTCGGCCGTCTGCGCGGGAACGGGGCGCCGCGGCCGCGAGGGGGCGGGGGGCCGGCGCCGGGCTCTGGGGTGGGGTGGGGGGGACCCCGAGACCCGCGGCCGACAAAGGCCGCGCCCCGCGCCGCGCTCTCGCGGGCCGCGGAAGGAAAAGCAAGGGATCGCAGGCGCCGAGGCAGCCGCCGGGCTCTGCCCTGCCCGAGTGGAGGCCGTGAGCCCGGCGGCCCGACGCGGCCCGGAGCGCGGGCTCCGGCGCGAGCTGGCGCCCCGCCGAGGGCCGCCCGAGGGGCTGCAGCTCGGCCCGGGGTCGGCGCTGGCGCCCCGGCCGCCCCGGGCCCGCGCGCTGCCTCTCGGAAGAAAGCGAAACCCGGCGCGGCCGCCGAGGCCCCGGTTGCCCAGATCGGGACACGTTGCCCCGATATTTACACCCATCGGGAGTTCGCCGCGGCTTCCGGGATTAGAGGGACCAGCTTGGTGCCGGGGGCTTGTTCTCCCGGACTCTTTGGGCCTGGGGGTTGGGGAGGGAAGAGGGACAGAGAAAAAGAAAAAAAGAAAAGAAAAAAGTTTCTTTCGGGGGAAGCAGTGAAATAGGAAATGAAGATCCGCTCTGTAGTTTGGCTGAAAGGGAACGCTGTCTAATCCTGACATGTATCGCATTTAAAATAAAACTCTTTTATCTCCATGCGTGCCTAGCACCCCCCCCCCCAAACACTTCGGATTCCTACAGGGGGAAAGACGTCATAAAGTGAGAATTTGTTTCATTGTGGGTCTCTCTGCCAACACGAGGCTTTTCAGGGAACGCCAAACAAAGCGGGTGCCAGGAGGGGACTTTCCAGGTGAGCCCGGGAAGGGACGGCGACTCCCCTCCTGTCCCTGCAAACGAGAGTAAGTTGTTCTGGAAAACCCACCCTTCCTCCTCGAAAAGCGCCGCTCTCCGTTCCAAGACCCCGTCCCTCTCCCAGATAAATCACAAGCGTCCTTGGCTTCACATTAAGCCCCAAAGATTTTAAGATGTTGAGATTTGGGGACGTGTGACCCGCCGGTGGCCCAGGGTTCAATGTTGTTGCTTCTTTTCCTGCCAGACCTGATAAAGGAAAATATTTTAACTGTAACCTGCAAGCTTGCTTTTTATTCCTTTTATTTTTTTTTCTTTCTACTTTTCTTTTTTCTTTTTTTTTTTTTCCTTCTTCTCCCAAGAAACAGATCAAGAAAAACTAATTACAAGGCACGGCACCGAAGTTAAATGAAAATGTAATCCGGCAATGCGGAGAGCAAATTAATTTTTTAAAAGATAGATTTTAGTTAGGAAAAAAAAATACATTGTTCTCTCTGGTAACATTTGTTAAACCCGTGCTCGATTTCGGGCTGAAAAGTCAGTACGAACCCAGAACTTCGAGGTCACTCTCCGGTTGCGTTGTCTTTAGAAATTCTAATTTGATAATGTTCAAGCCTTCTTTGGGGTCTTTGTTTTGATTTCTAAATAGAAAGGTTTGGGGGGGGTTGTTTTGTTTGTTTTGCTTTGTTTTTATTCAAAAAATACTACCTCCCTGTTTAGACCCGAGTGATCCTGGAAACTGGGAGGATTCAGAAAAGGATTTTTTGGAAGTGTCTCCGTTGATATTTTATTGCGATAATAAATTAAAAAAAAACTTTCTCCCTTTCAGGTAGATGTCACATTCTAAAAATGCTCTCGACTGTTGGAAAAGTGGGCAGGAGCACACACATCTGCTAAGTTGCTCTAAGCTGCTTGTAGCGCTTCCCTCACGCCAAATAAGGAGGGTTTTGTTATTTTCGCTGTTAATGGTGGCATTTTGTTTTCTTTTTTTGTTTGTCTGTCTGTTCTACAAACACTCTTGTTGGGTCTTCTGTATCCTATGTTATCTTCCTAAAGGAAGGTTTCTCATTTCCAAAACACACAAGCTGCCACACGAAAAGAAAATCACAGTGCTTCATCCTAAAGATATTTTTTAAGCGTCCAAACACTAAAATACAATAATAAATATTTTTTAATGGAATGAAATGTATGTCTGATGAACTGCTTCGTAGCTGGTCGTTAGCATCTCCAACAAGGCCATTTCCTTAGTGCTGTTTTGTCTGAAGCCATTACAACCCCCACCTTGTTCATTTTCTTACATTGAGATATTAAGAATTATCTTCCTGGAATCTTCAGCCCTTCCTTGTTTTGTTTTGTTCGTGAGTTTGACCTAACACGTCAACGGACTCCAGCCGGAAATAAGTTGACAGATGTTATATGATATGAAGGGGAGTTTTTTTTTTTTTAATGAAATCTTCAGTCTGTTCATTTATTTTTGAAAATGGAAGTGTTCTTGTTTGTTTGGCCTGGTTTTGTTTGTTTGTTTGTTTTTCGTTTTTTTTTTTTCTGTTTTACTGTACTTGAGCAAAACTGGGCTCAAGAAAAGAAAGCCACGTCCTCTATACTGTATCGGCAGTGAATTTGCACCACCTTCTGGTAGGTTTGAGAATGACGAAAATACCGATGCTTCCCTAAAAGAATTATTTTTTTTTTCACTCTGCTTCTGTGAACATTGTCCTATTTGTACCTAAACCCAGAGCACCAGTGAGCTTCTCGTAGAACTCACAGCAGATTTCCAACGGCCTGATTTCATGAAAATCCTGTGAACCAGGAATTCCCCCCCCCCTTTTTTTTTAAATCACATCCCTGAAAGAGCTTAGAAAGTCCCCGACTGGTTCTTGTGTGTTAATTTACTGAAATGCCTGGCAGGAAAGTAAGGAATGGCTATAGAATAGTCCTGTTCTATTTTGGCTTTCCTCTGTAGAGTGCTTGAAAACAAATCAGAGGCTCTAACTGTAGCAGCAGAAAAAACAAACGCTTCTCTTTCTTGAGTTCATAAGACCCTCATTACCCACAATTAATCATAATGACATGCTGTATTCAGGCTTCTTGCTGGGGTCTGGCGAGGAGCACACAGATGTGGCTTTCTGTAGATTTCAGTCCCTTCTGCAATATGGATTTCAGGATACAGAGCTCATTAGTACACATTACCAGCTCCCGGGGTCTGCTGTTTCTCGCAAAAGTGCTGGTCAGCACTAGGGTGCTGAGGGTTTTCAGGGCCTTCAAATACAGAGCATTTTTCATGGCCTTCCTGCCCACTGATAAAGACCACAGGGTCCAAAGGTTGATCTTTTCCCTCAAAGCCAAGCTAGATTTTTACGACCAGAATGTCCACTACTGGATGTATGCATACATGTATGGGTTATATCTATCTTCTTTATATGAAGGTCTCTTATTCAAAGGAGAAAATTCACTTGATGATGTACTTTCAAGAGTGTGTGGGAAATTAAGACCATATTCCGGTAAAGAAGGGCCCAACTGTTTTGCCTGCATAACCAAGCTCAGAGAGAGAAAGATGTGCAGTTGGGTGAAATGAGTGCAATCATTCGCTGAATTATTCATCTTTTGTTAACCAAGAACCATTTACCGAGCCCCTGATATGTGCCAGGTCTGTGAAGCTAAAACCAATAGGCAGGCTGGCATGGGCTGTTTGTGCAGAAGGTACGATTGTCTGCCTCTCCAGCAGAACTGGGTGGAGGGTGTCTTCCTAGACAAGGCTGTCTGAGAATTTGTATGAGGTTAAGACAGCTCCATCAAGGAAGACCAAGAAAATGATATTCTCATCAGCATAATCTAAGCTCTTTGTTAGAAACTTAAGATTGTGAGGAAAGTCTATGGAGAAAACTATCAACTTTCTGGAGGAATAATCCAAACTAAGATCGTTATTGGGAAAGCATACCAGCAAATAATAAACTGCCTTGACTAAAAATAACTTTCATGTTGCTAAAAATTTACATGCAATGATTAAATTGGAAAAAGAGGATGAGCAAAAGAGAAATAGGCATCTTAACAGAGAAGACACATAAGTTAATGCATAAAAGAACGAACCAGGGAAGCGTAAAAGCAAAGACATAATAAGACACCATTTTATGTCTAATGCCCAATACTGATCCTATTTTACAGATACCAGAATACTATTGGATTGGGGCAAAAAGTCTTGCAATACCAAGTGTTGGAGAGGATCTTGTCTCACAAGAGCTCTTAAACAATGCTTCTAGAAGGAAAAGATATACAACCACCATAGAAAACAACTTGGCACATATTATATAACTCAGCAATTCTACTTCCAGGTACATACCCAACAGAAACCTTTTCACCGGTACACCAGAAAAAAATGTGTGTGTTCAGAACAGTTCTCGGCATAATAGTGACCTCAATGTCCATAAATGGCAAGAGTGTATGTAATTCACAGTGATATATGGACACGAATGAATATATGCACCAAAGTAAAATGAGACACAGGTATGTTGCTTAATCTGAGCATTAAAAAAAAAAAAGGATAAACAGATTTCTGAATGGTTTCTCAAGTAGGAAGAGGAAGGGGGAGGGGATGGGGACAGAACACATAGAAAAATGTAAATTACTTCAAGATCCTAGTTCCTGGGTAGTGGGTTCATAGTGCTTATTACATTCGAAAGTCAAAGGAATAAATGCATGTAAGAGGATCACACATGCAAAAGTGATGGCAGTGTGTCGTGAGCAAGCAACTCTTTGCACCTAAGATTTGACCAAAATTAAATGAGATGTAAAAAAACAATTAAGGTGGGGGCGCCTGGGTGGCTCAGTCGATTAAGCCTCCAACTCCGGCTCAGCTCATGATCTCACAGTTCGTGGCTTCAAGTCCTGCATCGGGCTTTACGCTGACAGCTAGCTCAGAGCCTGGAGTCTGTTTCAGATTCTGTGTCTCCCTCTCTCCCCCACTCATGCTCTGTCTCTCTCTGGCTCAAAAATAAACTATAAAAATTTTAAAAAAATTAAGGTGTTTGTGCAGTTTTCTTATGACAAAGGTTCTTACGGACATATTGATAGCAAAGACCCTAAGGAAATTTTTGGTAAATATGACTACCTCAGCATTTCAAACTTTTTGCATCGAGAACATATTTTAAAGAATCCAAAGCCAAATAAGTTAATAAAAATACTTTCACCACAAATAAGTTAATGACCTTACTATATAAAAATCCCTTCAAAGAGATAGCCTAAGGATGAGAAGCAACGACCTTCCTCCTACCGGCAGGTATAAATCACTGCATCGTTTCTGAATTCCAAACATAGCATGATCATAATGGCAGGTAACATTTACTGAGCCTTTAGTATTGTGCCAAGCACTCTTCCGAGGACTTTCCATGTGTTTAATCCCCACAGTAACCCCAGAAGGTAGAAACTATTATTATCCACATTTCTCAAATGAAAAACCTTTGTAATGTGTATCAACATGTGCTTATTACACCGCATTAGCAACCTGTTATGCCCAAACTACTCAAAAGGTGACTGGCATCTTTTAAAATATTTCTTTCGGTTCACGTCTTGAATGTACATATAGCTTCAATGCCTCCAAATGTCAAATCTTTCTGTCCTTTGGATGCAAAGAGGTCCAGAAAGTATGAAAAAAATACATAGCCCTTGACCAGCAATTCCATTTCTAGGGATAGATTGTAAGAAAATGAGTAAGGAAATGTGCCAAATTTTAGCTGTAAGAACATTTAACCAGTGCTTTCTGAAATAAGAAAATTATAATAACCCCTAAGACATTAAGAAATTGGCTGAATAAATTGCAGTACATTCACAAGATGCCATAGTCTGTGGTCCTTTTTATTTTAACATATCAAATTGTGTTTTTAATTAAACTTTTTTTATTTTGAGAGCATTGTAGATTCACAAGCAGTTGTAAGAAATAATACGGAGACAGCTCACATACCCTTTACCCAATTTCCCTCAATGATAACATCTCTCAAAACTATAGAACAACATGGAAAGATACAGAAACATGTCCAACATTCCCACAAAAAATGTTCCACGGTCGCCTTTTATAGCCACACCTACAACCCGCCCACTGCCTTTCCCTCCTTAATCTTTGGCAACCACTGAGCTCTTTCTACAATTCTATAATCATGTCATTTCAAGAGTGTTATGTGAATGTGATTTTACAGTAGACAATCTTTGGGGATTGGCTTCTTTCACTCAGCGTAATTCTCTGGGGGTTCATCTAGATTGTTGCACGAATCAATAGTTTCTTCCTTTTGATTGCTGACTAGTATTCCATGGTACCAGTGGATCAAAATCTGTTTAATCATTCACCCAATGGAGAACAGATGGCTTGTAGTCAGTTTGGGGCTACTAAAAGTCAAGGTGCTCTAATCACCCCTCTACGGGATTTTGTGTGAACATTATAGGTCTTCATGTCTCTGGGATAAATGCCCAGGAGTGAATTATTGGGTTGTATGGTAGTTTCATGTTTAATTTTTTTTAAGAACTGCCAAACTGTTTTCCAGAATGGCTGTACCATTTTATAGTCTCACCAGCAATATATGAAACATCCATCTTTCTCTGCATTATTGCCAGAACTTGATGTTGTCATTTTTATTTTAGACATTCTGATAAAAGCATAGGGATATGTCATTGTAGTTTTAACTTATATTCCTTAGTGGCTAATTTTGATCATATATATACATATGTATATATGATAGATAGATAGATAGATAGATAGATAGATAGATAGATAGATAGATAGATAGATAATCAGAGAAAAAAATTGAGAAGTTAGAGTTCCCATATATCCCCTACCCCCCTACACACACAGCCTCCCTCGTTATCCACATCCCACACCAGAATGCTACATTTATCACAATCTATGAACCTACATTGTGACCTCATCATCCAGAGCTTACACCCAAAATCCATAGTTTACTGTGGATTGCATTGCACATTCTATGGGTTTTGAAAAATATATAATGACACGTATCTGCCATTATATTATCATACAGAATAGTTTTAGTGCCCTAAATAGTGCTCTGCCCATTACTCCGTCTCTCCCCACTGAGCCCCAATCTTTTTTACTGTCTCCAGAGTTTTGCCTTTTCCAGAAGGACAAATAGCTGGAATCATAAAGTATATAGCCTTTTCAGATCAGCTTCGTTCACTTAGCAACATGCACTTAAGTTTCCTTCATGTCTTTTCATGACTTACTAGCTCTATTTTTTTTTTAATTTTTTAAACATTTATTATTTGTTGAGAGACAGAGCATGAGCAGGGAAGAGGCAGAGAGAGAGAGAGGGAGACACAGATTCCGAAGCAGGCTCCAGGCTCTGAGCTGTCAACACAGAGCGCAAATCGGGACTTGAAGTCAGGAAATGTGACATGATGACCTGAGCTGAAGTTGGAAGCTTAACCGACTGAGCCACCCAAGCGCCCCTTTACTAGCTCTCTTTCTTAAGTGCTGAATAATATATTCAATTGTCTGGATACATGCAGTTTATTTATTCATTTGCCTATAGAGGGTTCTCTTGTTTGCTTCCAAATTTTGGCAATTGTAAGTAAATCTGCTATACACATATGTACAGGTATTTTTGTGGAATACATTTTCAACTCTTTTGGGTAAATACCAATGAGCTTGATTGCTGGGTCATATGGTAAGACTTTTATATTTAGTGTAAGAAACCGCCAAACTGGCTTCCAAAGTGGCCATACTATTTTGCATTCCTACCAACAGTGAATGAGACTTCTTGTTCTATCTTCATTAGCATTTGATGTTGTCAGTGTTCTGGATTTTGGTCATTCTAATAGGTGTGTGGAGGTATCTCACTGGTATTTTAATTTGCATTTCCCTGAAGACATAGGATGTTGAACATCTTTTTTTATGCTTATTTGCCATCTGATATTTTCTTTGATGAGATACCTACTCAGGTCCTTTGTCCTGTTTCTAATTGGATTCCTTAGGTTTGTTGGTTTGTTGGTTGGTTTGTTTTACTGTTGAGTTTTAAGACTCCTTTATATTCTACATACTAGCCCTTTATTAGATACAGGGTTTGTAAATATATTCTCTCACTCTATAGTTTGTCTTTTCATTCTCCTAACAGGATATTTCACAGAAGTTTTTAATTGTGATGAAGTACAATTTACCTATTTTCTTTTCTTATGTATCATGCTTTGGAGTCAAGTCTAAGAAACCTTAGCTAATCCTACATCCAGAAGATTCTATCTTGCTTTTTAAAATAAAAGTATTATGTTTTTCTGTTTTACATTTAAATCCATAATCAATTTTCAGTTAATTTTTGTATGAGGTATGAGACTTAAGTCAAATCATTTTGTGTCCATTGTCCCAGCACTATTTGTTGAAATAACTACTCTTCTTTCATTTAATTGCTTTTGCATTTTTCTCAAGTACCAATTCAGCACGTTTGTCTGAGTCTATTTCTGAGTTCTTTATTCTGTTCTACTGATCTGTGCCAATTCCTCCACCAATACTGCAGTCTTGATTTCTATAGCTCTATAGTAAGTCTTGAAATTAGGTAGACTCATTTCTCTCACCTTCTTTTTTAGAATTCTTAGCTATTCTAGTTCCTATGCCTTTCCACCTAAATTTTAGAATAATCTTGACTATCTCTACAAAAACTATTTGCTAAGATTTTATAGAAATTATATCAAACCCATGTATCAATCAGGGGGAAATTGGCATTTTTACTATGTTGACTCTTCCAAGCCATGAACATAGTATGTCTCTCCATTTATTTGGAATTTCTTTAATTTATTTCATGATGATTGTGTAGTTTTTCAGCATACAAATCATGTCTTGTTAGATTCACACCTAACTATTTTTCATGTAGTTTTAAGTTATATTATTAGTTTCAGTTTCCGCATGTTTATTGTTAATATATAGAAGTGTAATTGATTTTTGTTTGCTGATCTTGTGTCCTGTGGCCTTGATGAACTTACTTATTAGTTCTAAGAGTTTTTATGGTTTTGTTTTATATCCCTTGAGATTTCCTGAATAGACAATGATGTCATCTGCCAACAAGGCAGTTTTATTTCTTCCCTTCTAATCTGTATGCCTTTATTTCCTTTCCTTGCCTCATTGCCCTGGGTACAATTTCCAATACTATCTTGAATAAGAGTGGGAAGAGTTGAAGTCCTGAACTGCATACTACAAATTTTGACATAATTTCATTTTAATTCTATTATTTGTAATTTTTATCACTTTTGAGACTTCTTCCTTGATTTATGGATTATTTGGAATTGTGTGGTTTTGTTTCCATGTGCCTGGATATTTCTCTGCTATTTTTATGTTATTGATGTC